TTAATCTGTGATATTCTAGATCTCTAGGCGTCTCGTTACTCAAACATTATAAGAAAAACAAAATGCAAAAAAATCGTTACGGAATTTCACTCCGGTAGCAGAGATGGCTGGCCAGAGCGTACTAGTAAAGAAAGCTCTATTTCATGTCACAATGTAGTAAACATCCTGTCAGAAAGGTGATCCGAAGAATGTAGAGACAACTAAGAGAACGAAAACATTAAGAATCTTTTTTCATCTTACAATTTTTGTTGATTTCATTTTACTTCGGAATAAGTTGTCAGTCTCATTGTATATTCAATAGATCATTCATTCTGAACAAATAGATATTATATAAAGTGTTCGGAAAATTTGGCGGATGCATAAAAGTGAAAAGCATCGCAAACTCATTAAATGTTTATTTTCATCTAGGAACGTGAATTATTGACTGTTGACAATCCTCATACAGCCACTTCTTCTACTCCCAAATTCCAAGTGGGAAGTGACATATTCTATCGAACATCCTCGTTAAAAAGTCAAACTGCTCCACGAACAAACGAAACATATTACAAACAATATTATGGTGGTGATAATGAATGTGAGTAAAACACATCGAATAAATGTTCAAACGATGTGTACATTGTTGTTTTTCTGTTATTTAGATGAACAATATGATTCAGTGCATGGTGATAAATTTTTATTTTCGACAGTTGTATAATTCACATCAAGCAGTAAGACACATTTTAGCGTCCCGGTGATTCTCAATTTTTTTTTTGTGTGCAGTAAATGTTAACCAGTATGAAAACAAACATAAAAAATTTACAAAATAGGCACTGCTACAACGTCTTATTCGATCGGTGTATATGCTTGTGTTAGTAAAACAAGCAAAAAATATGTGTCCCAGAGTACGATCAAAAAGAGTTTTATAGTGCACTTTTAATAATAGATTTTTCTTTTTTTATTACCTTTTTTATTTTTATGTTTAGTATAAAAATATTTTTCAAAATAAAAATGAATTCTCTTTGTTTTGGTTAGGAATCTTATGATAATAGAGGCAGATTTGAAGTAAATATACACTTATGGAAGGTGCAAGGTATCTTTTTTAACAAAACATTTAAATTGATTACTTCTATATAAAAGAAAGAAACACACGATGGAGTCTGAAGTACACAAGGTACTCTTACATGATCAACGTCAAAATATTAACTTTATACTCGCATTCATAATCATTACGCATGTCTATATAGTTCAATGGTCTATACAGTAGAGGCTGTTAAAAGGTTAAAAAATCGCGTTTTTTATTGTTTCTTTTTCACTCTTGAAATGTTAAATTTGTTTGTTTGACATTTTCTGATCTAAAAAATATATATTTCTAAATGTTCACCTCAATTCGATGTATGTTATCTGAGTTGGCATAACAAAGCCGATCTGATGTTTTCGAAAACAGCGCCACCTTATGAGGTGTGTAACGAATGTCTATCTGGAAAACTTTACACCGTTAGAAAAGAGTAAAAACTGAATATGTGGTATTTAATTTATCTCTTAATGATCAATTTGACGTCAAAAAATGACAGTTCGAAAATATTTGATTCTTTAATCAAAAAAATTGTTTTCATCTCAAAGTACTCCAGTGTATCTCATATAATCCCACAGCTCCGGTGACAACACATGAACAATAATGAGGCGAGGAAATAAACAATTTTTTTGAAAAATCATCTAAAGGAAGTGGAAGAAAAAGTTTTTTAATATATTTTTATTTTTGTTTCTAATGAGTGAGCAATTTTAAAATCTGTCATTCGATGCAATTTTTCATGTTGATTACAAACCTGACGTTCGTATTCAAAGCTGCTTGTACAAATTTGAAAAATTAGAAAATTTGTCATATTTTTTAGGGTTTCTTCTAGTGCACCTCTCTGTCCACTAGGTGGAAATCCATTTAATGACTTTGAGGGCTATTTCTTCTAGTGAAGCTGCAAGGCTTTCGGAGAAGTGCATAATGGCAACTTTAGTTTGCTCTACTCGACTAAACTAATAATAAAAAGTTCAATTATATTTGTACACAAGAAAGCCAATAAATATAGAGAGATCGGTTGCAAAAATGTCGATGTGAGATTATATAATTGACAACAGCGTAAACATTCAATATTTATACACTTACATTTCTCTTCTGAACAGATGAAATAAATATTTCTCAGAACAATGGAATTTCCATTGACTTATGAATCACTGAAGTCAAAATCTGCAACTAGCTCCTTTCTTCCATGAACATCAAAAGATTGGAATGAACTACCTTCTGTTTTAGTATGTCGGTCTTCTTCATCTATATTTAAAAATATGTTGAGAGATCATACAGACTTTTGATAATTTCACACATAACAAAATGCATGACTAGTATTTATTTTACTCTTCTACGTATACATATAGAAAAGACTCGTCATGGATTAAAACTTTTAGCTTTTGGTTATCATAGGGTATCCACGAATGCCATAAGTTTTTTTTTTGATATTCTTCGTTTGCGTAAAATAAAATTCAACTTCAACTTAGAAAGTAGGTAATCATAAACAACTCCTGCCCTATCGTAATGCACGTGATCATCTTTATGGACGAATTTACGCTAACGATTGTCTCTGCTAAATCTCCCCTAACTTTTCCCTTTATCAATGAACTCGATAGTAGAAATCCTCTTTTAGATGTTTGATCCCTGGTGACGATTCGTGCTGTTTCATGTTTACTTACCAAAATGGTTTTAAATTTTTGATTTATCAGATCAGGACATAGATTAAGATTATCTCTTGTCCTGAGGTGCTCTATTCTAGGCCTGGCCCGAGTTCGAGAACTTGGGCTCGTTGAGATTTGGTTCGAGATCGGCGAGCTAAGCTCGGCTCAGTTTTGCCTCAACTAAACATTTACTTCTGGTGGCTAACGAGTAAAACGAGTGGAGTTTTACGAGCCGAAGCTCGGACTCGGATCATGCCTACTCTATTCCAAAGATGAGGAAAAGAGACTAAGAATGTCAATCCGTAAAGTACGTAAAGTAGAGTATACCGAGTATTTTTTAGTGTGTAGAAAGTATATTTGAAGTGTTATTAATCTGTTTTGAACGAGTTACGAAATTTTCAGGTTTGCTGGAAGACATAGACTAAAAAGGACAGTTGGAATTATTCATGTAAAAAAGTACTATTCTATTTCATATTTTTGAGATTTGAACTAGTTTTCCACAGATCCTTCAGAAACACCATGTCAGAAGAAGATTACGAATATTCTTCTTCTTTACAAAAGTCCATTAAGAAGTTGCTTATAAAATGCTGAAAACCGCAAGTTTTTACCTCTTTATTATCAAACGTTGCTCGAAGTACACATCACGTGTTTCATGGATCTGACCGCTCTTGAATAAAGCCGACATTCCACAATTCTAGCATTTCGCGGGAAGTTTCGCTTTTTTACAAATAAAGGAAGAGTTAATGATTACATATGTAAAAGATATGTATCTGAAAAAAATATTCTCAAAATATCTGACAAATGAATTGTCAGAAAATATATCTGACCAGTATAAATCAACTGTCCCATATCAATTTTGTTGCATGAGGTGAACGTTGTATTGATGCTTTTGTAAATCCGTGATATTCAAGCTCAACCAAACCGTGAACAAATCGTGCAGTGCGAAAAGACACAACAGTAAAAAATGTTTTTTAAAACAATTTTACATTGAATTCTTACGTCAACAATTTGTCCTTGTTTCCATCAAAACTGGACGCAAATGACTAAAAAATAACAAAACAGATGAACCTTTGATATCTGTCACACTCGCCAAATTTAACGTTCAATAAGAAACAACAAAATAATCTTCAAACCAGTGAACGAGTGAAATTTTTGTTTCACGGTCGGAATATGTTTGATACAAACGAGCCAAATCGGGTGTATCATACGTCATATTATTCATTCGATTTCAGAAGTTCATTTCCATCAGTTCCTTAATGCCATTTGTTCGCGTTATTGGCATTAAACGTTCATTCAACATGCCTGTCACATCCGAATAATCATTCTGTTCTTGTTCAAATGTCTCACAGTTTGTTTAATCCATTGATAAACTTTCTCTCTATATTTTGATAATTTCTTATCTATCAATGAACGTAATATGATACGTTTTGTTACTGTATCACCATCAACTGCATTATTAACAATTGATTCTAAAATATTATTTACGTAGCACGATACGATTTACTTATGTTTTCTTTTCTCGTATTTATCAATAAAAAGTTTATACAAAAAAAAAAAATATTATTTGCATATTGAATAAATTGTTGACAATTAGAAACTTCACGCGTTTCAATTATTTCTTAATAAAGAATATACGTTGTCTTCATTTGATTTTAGACTTGATCCGCAATTATACCATCATATAGATCAAGAGGCAGCTCACTCTCGTGAACTAACCACGTATGCGGCATACGATTGCCTCGCTATTCATCATTTATTGAAAAATGGAGTATTAGGTGCAAGACGGCCTCCTCGTACACGCCGAATTTCATCGTCATCATCATCAGCTGATCACCATGAATATTTTCCCTCAGAATTGTCATCTTCAACAACACAAAAACAGCTATTTCCTTCTAAGTCATGCTCTACACTACCATCAACACAAATTTTCCTGCCTTATAACACCTTTTCATCACCGTTGTCATTACAACCTTCTCAAATGGATTATGATTTAGTTTCAGGCGTGGAAGCTCTAAATCAAACTACGGTCGAATCACCTAAACGAACAACTACACTATCACCACGACCTGAATTATGGGAACAAATATCGGAATCAGAAGCAGACGAATAGAAATTTAATTCACCACCGTATCATTCACCATACAAACTTATTTCATTTCGGCAATATCGTTAATATCCGGAATCCCGTCATATTACTACAACAGCAACAACTATAACTTCTTCTTCGCAGCAACAAACTGTCTAAAACTCGATACATTATTTATTAGTGTGCGATCCCTTAACTATATCTGACGGCTATCACAGAAATGTTTAGAAACTTTGGTTCAATTTGCACACATAGTTTCGTACACCTATTTCTGATGTAATCGTGTATATTGTCCCACAAGACCTATAAGATTCCTTTTGACAGAAACATGCAATTTTTGCATAACTTCGATAAAGTCACAAAACTGGAAGCAGAGTTGTAACCGGTCAACAAAATCATGACCGATACCGGACGGTCACCGACGAACATATGCAGACCGGACCGGCCATGTTTGAAAAAAATTGACCGGTAAGCGACTAGTGTTTTTTGCTTTCTGTTCGATATAAATATGCCTTTTTTCTGTCATATTTTCTAGTTATAAGCCAATTCGACCGGTCCCGGTCCAAGCCGATCGGGCTCGGTCCAGCAGTCTGATCAGAACCGGTTCTATCGGCCGGTTGATAAGTCTCGACTGGACCGGACCGGGAACGGGCGCTCGATCCGGTCACATCTCTGACTGGAAGTAAGAACTTGGTCACGATAAATCGCTTTAAATCTGTGAGAACCTGCACGCAAACATTCAGCGATAACCAAATAATTAAGAAAAATAAACACTGAGGAAAGGCTCTTCGATTTATGATACCATGACCGATATTCTCTCTCTACTTTACAGACAACCTTCTAGTTTCCGATACTCCAAGAATGCTAATAAATGCTTTCGCTGATAAATTGCTAGATCTCGATTGTCCCGCATC